CCTCAGGCTCTCCTCGCGGTCCTGCTTTATACTAAGCAGGTGCGTAACTGGCTTCTGGTGGCGACGCCCTCCTATGAAGTGTGAGACGAATGATCTGCTAAGCTCGGCAAAAAAGGTAATAGAGGAGGGGGAGAGCTTAGCAAACCACTGTCGGGCAGACCCCTTTAATGTGGTTCAGAATGCCCTGCACATGATTTCGTCTGGTACGTTGTGCAATTGCATCAAGGTCTTGTAAGTGTCGAGGTGGTCCAGTGGATCCTTTGTTCCATCAAAGGTCTCCACAGATGGCATTTTGAACTTCTGAGGGAGGGGGTAGTTTGCTACATCAGGTTTGAAAGGGGTATCAGTACGCCTTACCAGGTGGTCAACAGTCTCGGGTCCTTGTGCCTTCATGGCGTTGAAGACATCACCGAGTTGATTCTGTACCTCCTTTATCTTCTCGTCCCAATGATTGGGGGCTCCTCTGGAATGATCATGGAAGTGGCTTCCATGCCCCATGCTTTGGTTTTCACCCTCATCCTCCTGGAGATAAGGGTCCTCTCCCTGGAAAGCAAGGGGAGGGGGAGGTGCAGCTCCCTCATGTTGGGCTTCCCGAAGTGGGGTGCCCAATGGGGCACCCGGGCGTGGAGCAACAGGGCGTGGTGCTCCTTGATGTCCAGGATGTGGAGCTCCTTGGGGTGCTCTATGTTGTGCACCTCCGTGGGGCCCTCCATGTTGTGCACCTCCATGTGGTGCTCCACGTTGTGCACCTCCGTGTGGTGCTCCACCTTGGGGTCCTCCATGTTGTGCACCTCCGTGTGGTGCTCCTCCTTGTCCAGCAAGTATGAGTTGCAGTAACTGTTGGTTTTGAGCAACCAGTTGCTGCATGGTCTCCAATATTTGTTGGGGATTCGGGGCTAGAGTATCCGGAACAGGGTTGATAGGCGGGGGAGCAACCTCCTCCTCTCGTGGAGGATTGTCTTCGTGTTGGTTCATGGATCGGGTAGTGATCGCCATTAGTTCAATGGATGTAATGTTCAGGAGTGAGAATTTTGTTGATTTCCCACAGACGGCGCCAAACTGATGATGCACAAAAATAGTTTTGTGCACCACCCGTCAAGTGTAGATAATAAATGCAATGAAATCAATGAAAAAATTAAAGAAGACACAATTTATAGTGGTTCGGTCAATTCGACCTACGTCCACTCTTCAATGGCTTCAGTCGCCGGGTATTTTATTGATTCAAAGGTATGGAGAATGGAGATACAAGCTTTGAGAGAGAGAATGGAGAATCAAAGAAAAATAGTAATCTCCGGTAGTCGGTTCGTCCTCTGTATGTCTCTGGTGGGACGTGATATTCCTCTCCCTCTTCTCCCAGATCGGAGCTATTTTATAGCAGCTAAGTGATTATTCTTGGTGGAGATCACGACTTATCCTCAAGGCTTATNTACGCAGACCTTTTCTCTCTATATCTCTATGTAATGTAGAATACTGAATAATGGAGTCTTTGCTTTCCAAAAAAGTGCATGGAATGATGCCCTAGACTCTAGAAGTGACCTCCATCTATAGGGGTGCAGGAGGAATGGGCTGGACAGAGAGGTTGCAGAGCTTGTCTGCACACCCAGCTCCTCTTCTCTTCTCTCTCCTCTTTGATGGCCAAGCTTCCAAAAGTCCAAGATAGGTGTCCCAAGGGGTGTTATNTTGGACCGTTTCCTTTGGTGGTGCAGATAAGCTTCCCGTGTTCTCCTCTTGATGACGTGCTAAGCAAGAAGTTTAACCGGTCTTGGACTGTCTTGGGCTTGGTGGAATCAAAATGAGGTTGGGCTCCTCAACCGGGTTTGGACTTTAACACATAAATTGGACTATTTGGGCTTAACCCATCAGTATTCGTGTTGACCCACAAAAATTTTGAAATAAAAAATTTAACACTAAGATTTTATTTTCACTTAATTGAATCCATACTCATACTTTTTCTATAAACTAAAAATTAACTTAATAAATATAATAATAATAATAATGAGTTAAAATATATTTTTTATACAACAATTATGTCAATGATTAATAAACAGTTACAAATAATTAATATTTTATTTCTACAATACTAATTAAACATACTAATCGTATTAAGGTCGTGTTACTGTACAAACGAGAAAATAAAAAAAGTGTCAATTCTTAAATAAGCGAGTTAATTGTGTCAATTTCGCGTTTGGAGAGTTGAACCCGAACATTACCAATTTATATTTTGTGCTCACGTGTTGGGTCATGTTCGAATATATGTCGAGTTTGAATCGTGTCATTGTGTTGAATCGAAATTGTCACCCTTAATTCTAACTAGTGAAATGGATGGAAGAACTTTATTGACATAAAATTGATAAGTGAATGACTAAATTAAAATAATTAAAACTTTCATGACCATTTTAAAATTGGTGGCAAAATTTAAGTACTACTTATGATATTTTTACACTTTCCTATTTTTTACGCTTTCTTATTTGGGAACATCAAGGGAAGCTGAACTGATGGATCACTTCTTTCCCAATTTGATGACGATCACCGACTCAATAGAAATTGGGGCGTAAATGAAAATTTTAAAAAGAGTTTTTAACAACTTAGGGATAATTGCATTAGAGGTTTTTAAAATATGGAATTTGTTTTATTTTGGTCCTTAATATTTCGATTGCATCATTTTGGTCCTTAAAATATTAAAAATGTATTTATGTGGTCTCCCTCAAGCAGATAACATCCAAATTGTTAAAGATTTTTTGTTATAATCTTATCATGTGATAGCTAAATATAGAAAAAAAAATAATTTGGATAGTTGTTGACTAAAATTTGAATAGTTTTTGACAAAAAATGTGTAATATGAGTTATTCTTGACCAAAATTTGGATACCAGATGCTCAAAACTGTGTTATTTGGTCAAGAGTTATCAAAATTATTTTTTTTCTTATATTTAGATATTACGTGACAATTTATAATAAAAAATTATTAGCAATGCGGATTCTGTATATATGAGGGACCACATAAAAACATTTTCAATACATTAAGAACTAAAATAATGCAATTGAAATATTAGGAACCAAAATGAGACATAATTTATATTTTGGGACCTCTAATACAACTAACTCAAACATTTATTACAAACATATGTAATATGACTATAATGTTATTAAAATTAAAATTTTCACTTTTTTATTAATAAATTTATTAAAGATTCCTTCTTGAGATTGAATTATTTCAACGACCAAATCAAAGTCTTAATGCCCCCACCACGACGGTCCCCAACGAACAAAACAAAGTCATCGCCACCCACCGCAACCGAGAACCCCTACCCCACGCCACTAGCACCACCAAAAAATCCAGCGAAACCCTGGCCCTCCACCCCCACCCCCACCCATCCACATTCCCAAGTCAGTGAACCCCTACCTTCTGGATTTGGCCCCTGTTTTCATGCGCAGAAAATTTTTTGAACTTTGACGCAACAGAGTTTTATGTCACTTTCTTTATGTGTGTAGAGTTTTGATCAGATTTTTTTTTGTTTCTTGATGATGCTACCAGTCACGGGAAGCTCAGAGATCGATCGTGATCACCCATAGGTAACAATTTTTTCTCTCTTTTTTGCAACACACGCACACACACTGAACACACGCATACAACACACACACACCACGCCCAGCGCACAAAATACACACCCACACACACAAACTGCAATGCTCCTCTTTTGGTTTTATTGATAAAGTGCAATGCTCCAGCAAAAAGAGATTTAAATGGTAAGCTTTCATTCCACTTCGACAACTTGCTTCTTTTTTATTTCCGTTTTTTTTTATCTTCAAATGAAGATTTTCAGTTCAGTCTAATGTTTAGTTACTGAGATTAATGCGTTAATAATTTATTTTGATCAAATCCAAATAAGAAAGAAGCAATATAGTGAGGTCTAAAAAGTGCCTCCGAGTGTTTGTTAGATTGCCTCATAGATTAAAAAAGTTCAACTTTTGAGTTTTACTATTTTCTAGCAAGAAACATGATTTTAAATCTTTTTTTAACCATTTTGGGATAGCGGCACCCATTACATTCTTGGTTTGTAGTTTTAAGTTTTTTTTTTTTTGCATGGGTTAGTGTAATTGATGTGGATTTTGTCATATAATCTATTCAAGTATTGTGGGTGATTTCCAATCCACGATGTCTTTCAACTTATTTATGATGGGTGAAGTTATTCCCACCCTACAAATCTCTGTTCCCACAAAACTTGTGAGAACGGAGATTTGTGGGTATTTTCCATTGCACGACTGTCTTTCAACTTATTCACGATGGATGAAGCTATTTCTACCCCACAAATCTCTGTTTCCACCCCAAACTTTAAATCATAAAACTACTAACTTCATCTTTTTTATACCCACCCCACTAATAACTAAGTTCATCCAATTTTATACTAATCCCACTAATTATTAAATTTATCTCAATTTTTTTTAGAGTTTGTTTTTATACTCTATCTTTCACAGTTTAAACAAAAATATAATCAATTTGATTATTTAGTATCGATCTCTCAAATGATATTCAAGTTGGTATTGAATGTTATCAAACAAAAAAAACTGATAAACCTTCATTGTAATCATTCTATGCGAATTTCTCTTCAAAAAAGAAAAAAATAAATAAGTTAGTATAGTTTTATATATGATGGGTATCCAATTCATAACTGAATTATCTGCCTACCATGACCCGGTTTTCACTCAAGATTTAGTCAATTGCTATTTGAATTTGAAATGCAGTTGCATTTTGTATTGTTCTACTTTTTAGCTGAATAGTTGGATGTTAGTTGTTAGTTCCATTTGAATTCCTTGTACTAGTTGACCTCTTCTATAAAAAGAGGTAGTTTCAATAAAATGTGGCAGAGAACCTTTGATCCCAAATTAACTAGTTGAAGTGAGATGTTTCCTTTAGGTGAGATGCCTAAACTTTCCTAGCTGCTTGTGAGACTCACTAGCCCCTCAATCTTTTTTTCTCTTTGCTTCCCCTGCTTTCTCTGCATCAATTTGGTATCAGAGCCTTCCTATGCTCCTGTTGCATTTGTTGCTGACATGAGTACGCGAAGTGGACAATCCTACACCAATGGTGCCAGATTTACTCAAGCTGAATGTGATGAACTGCTACTCAATGTGGCAAATTAGGTTGCTACCCTCACACAATGAATGGATACAGTCTGGACCCATGTCTTTCCTGTTCAAAACGACTACGAGGAGGGTCAAGGCAACCATGACAGCAACATAGCCCCACCACATGACGGACAGGAACTGCCTGACCCACCCCCACGGGGACCTCCGGAGCCTCCTCCAGGACCCATGCAACCACCACCATTTTTCTGCCTCCACAGGGGTGGATTTCAACATCAGTGGCCCCAATTTCCTGAACATGATACCTTTGACAAAGCCTTCAAACAAGTACGCGTTGATGTTGCAGATTATATAGGCACTATGAACCCAACTAGCTTCTAGGATTGGCTCATGTCCCTGGAAGATTATTTTGATTGGTTCAATATGGCTGAAGATAGGAAAGTGAGATTCGTCAAAATGAAGCAAGGGCGCGCAGGCAGAAGGAATGATGAAGGCATATAAGGTTATGCCAATTGGGAAAGAAAAACCGGCATATGAAGTAGTGTTTTATGTTATGCAAAGGAAAGCTGTTTGCTTGTGTCATATGTTTGAATTTATGGGAATTCTTTGTAGGCACATTCTTGCAGTTTTTGTTAAAAAATCTCTTGCTGATTGTCTCCCTCAAGAATATGTTCTTCAAAGATGGATAATACATGTGAAAGGTCATGTTGCACATGAAATTTGTAAGGATAAGATGCAAGACGAAGTCCAAATTTCTTCTACTTCGATGAGCAACAGTTTGATGATAGAGTTTTTTAAAGTTGTTGGAGAGGGACAAAAATCACAAAGGAAACATAATTATCTCACATTTTCCTTACGAAAAGATGCATAGTGAACTTCTAGTCATGGATTATGAGAGTGATGAAAATGAAAATGAAGGTGATTTAGGGAGTACAACACCACTTGAAGGTGGCAGTCAAATTTTGTCCAATATAGAATTCAGTTTGCAAGACCTGCCACATGTCATTTCTTGGGGGCGACCCAAATCACTTGGGCAAAAACATCTTAAGGAGAACAATATGGGGAAAAGGTGAAGATATGGCATTTACAAGCAACCAATGCATATCCGAACTAGTTGTCCTCTACAAAAGCAACCAAGGTGAACCACATGATTATTATGTTTTTTTTGGTACACTTACCAGTTGTTTGTTATATGCTAGTGATAAAGCTGGTATAAATGAGTCACCTACCATGTTAAATGTGCCTAATAATCGCTGCAATATTCATGAGGTAATGTATAATTATTTTTTACAGATAATTCTACATTTTCATATATGTGAAAGTGTGTTGTATTTAACCTTGATTTTTTTTCAATATGGCAAGGATTCACTACCGACAATTTTGTATGTTTCATGTCTTCCATCTACCATGTCTCAAGTTTCTTGGCCTTCTACATTCATGGTATGAATTTTTAATATTAGTTACGTTAAAAATTTATAGTCTCTTCTACTTTGGAACATGCTTTTCTTATGCTTTGATCTTTTTGCAAGATCTCATAATGGAGGCCACATAGAAACAAATGTAATTGAAAAGTTGGAACAAAAAACATTTTTGTCGTGGCTTGGGGAAAACAAGATTTAATATGTACTAATATTGCAACCCTATTGCCTGACTTTTTGTTTTTTGAGGCTACTACCTATTTTTGTCTGATGATGTTAATTGTTCTATCCTAAAACCGAAATGATGTCTTTAAAACTAAATGACCCAAAATTTTGATATCCCAAAAAACCTATGTTCGTAAATCAAAACCCCAAAAATATTGCGGTGAATATAATTGAATTGAATTACGACGAACATAACTGAATTGTGCTACGAATATAGTTGGGCAGTATAACAATAATGAAAATGTGCGGCGAATATACTTGAATTGCAATGTACCACTGACATCCTTCATATCAACGACCAACATCAGAATAGTAGCAAATTGAATAAACAAAAATTGTGTCAGATCATTGTTTTAAAAAATCCATAGAATGTGCAAATATAAACCACTTCCCCAATACAGAAAGATTGAAGACAAATACTTTGAGCGAAAAAATTCAAGATAAATGTTTGATCGAAAAATTTGGAGACTCAAAAAATGCATAAACAAAGAGTTCGACGAATAATAATTTATATAAATTGGTAGGATGGGCAAACATAAACCACTTCTCCAAAAAATAAAACTTCCAGACAAATGTTTGTATCGAAAAAAAATTCAAGATGAATGGTTTGATCGAAAAATTTGGAAAATTGAAAAATGCATAAACAAAGAGTTCGTTAGATCATAATTTTTGAATTTTTTATATTTATCTCTCTCTATATCTATCTATATCTACCCTTTCTATATTTATCTCTCTCCCTCTGTCACACACAGAGATGCACTTTTTGGAAGCACAATGAAGCACTTTTTTTTCACAAGACCTCTGTGACACACACACACTCATCATTTTTGTTTTCACTACACACCCACATACACTCTCTATCTAGTCCTCCTTGTGTCACACACACACACACCCCTAGTTTTTTTTAACAACTAGAAAGGAGTTCACGCACAAGGCACGCTAATTAGTGTTATAGAAAATATGTATATAATTAGATTATATTAAACTGTATAAAGTCTAACTTATGCACTAATCTAAACAGAATGTATAGAAATCAAAACCAGTGCACTTACATTGACGCAAAAAAAACACAGATAGTAAAATCCAAAAAATCAGAAATCTAGAAATCCAATAATAAAAACAATAATCTAAGTCCTGTGTAATCATAGTTTCCTTAAGACAGATTTGCTCCCTCTTGGTGCTTAAAGTTGATAAGCAACTGTCTCTCAAGATAGAACGGATTTTGTTCTTGAAGCTGCAACACTTAAATCTCCAAGACTCCAACGAACACAACTTTGTGTTTATACTTGAACCGAACTTGAAATAATAATGCAACAATATGCAGAGAGAGAAAGAAGAAAGACTAAATATTTAATTCAGTATTTTGGATAATTAAGAGCGCTAGAATGAGAGAGCAATTCTTGAATTGGTCAATGATATGTTTTGGGAGTGAAAGAAATCACCTATTTATAGACTCTCTACTGGCTTTTCGTAAAGAGTGTAATCATATGTAATGGTATATGTAATCCAAAGGGTATCCATGATGACTTTAAGAAAAAGATACAACCATTTGAAATGGTGTCTATGCACGGTGATTTTCGCACAATAAAATTAATAGAGAGATCTCTCCTTTGGTGAACACGAGTATTACTTGAAAGCCGATGATCCTGAGGCAAAACAAAGTGAGAAAGATCCTAAGGAGTGGTGATGAATTACTTTTTTAGCTACCCACGCAATTTCGGCGATTCGAAATGAATTCTGGCACTCAAAAAAGAGAGTTAGGAGGGCGCTGAAATATTTTCCAGTGTGACCCCTCTGACAATTAAGTCAGTACGTGAGGGAGGGGAGGGAAAAACATTGTTCTATTGTTGAATATTGTTTACATACCTTTTCTTTGAATTTAAGAGAGCTACTTATATCTCCTTAGAGGTTATCATTACTAACAGGTGGGCCCCTTGAAGAAGAGGTCCCCTATTGGCCTATTTGGAAAGCAATAGGCGGTGCTTGGTCCTTGGACAAAGCACCTTTCATCTTGGGTGGAAGAGGCTCATGCATTAAATATTTGGGCTCCCGAACACTTAATCCTTTTCATTTTGGGCTTTTCGAGCATTTATTACGTCTCATCCTTTTGAGGGATTATTCAATGCTTGACTGTAATGGTTGCGCACGAGTGAGGGTATCTTCGTCAACTGACCCTTGCTTTTGTGCTTTTTGCCATGTGTTACATCATCACTAGGTGTGGGTTTGTCCCCTCTGCCATTCTGACTATTTTGGGAAGACAATTCAATGATTATTGACCAAATTTAATTCCAAGTAACGATGGCCGTCATTCTGACACCTCTGCCTCGGGGTCTTGGAACTGAGATGACGTGTCTAGAAATAGACATCAGGGGATTCAGTCAGGCTGAGGACACGTGTCGCCATCTCGACACCCCGAGGTGTAAAACCCAGTAAAAAAAATAGTATTATTATTATTATTAAAAATCTTTATTTAAGGGGTAAAATAATAATTAATAGTTAAATTATGGGTCAAAATGTAAATTTCTATAAAATAAAGTTATACTATATATATAAGTGGAAGACAAAAGTCTTCCACTTTTTTTCTTCCAGTTTGTTGCTGAGAGAGTGAGAGAGAGAGAAAGGTGAGTATTTTTTTATTTTTTCTCTTTTTTTCATTCTCAGATCCACCAAGATTAGCCTGTTTAATTGCTTCGGGCCAAGAATTAAAGTTGCTCTACTCAGCTAGAGCTAGGCAACAACACCAAATATCGTATTTTTCTCCGAAATAATATCAAAGACGATAATTTAGGCCTAAAGTTTGGAAAGTTAAATTGGATTTCCTCGGAGTTCCAGCACGTGGGCTCATGCTACGAGAGGTAGGCTTTCCCCTATTTAGATTTACTTTCAACCTAAAATATGGCATATGAACTAGGTAGGCTATGGTTGTATATTACATGTTAGGTCTTGACTAGTGTAACTAGTGGGTCAAATATATGATTTATAATTAACTTTGTAATTAGAAAAATTCTATTATGATTAACTTGGTGTAAGTTAATGTTAGTGGTTTAAAACATGTTAAATGTACATTAGCATTATTGTATGTTTTAAATGGCATATCAAGTTTAATGAAATTATTAGCTTGTTATGTGATTATGGAATAATATGTATGTTAAATGATTATTTAGCATATAATTATTGTGGTGGACTTGTGCTTATATTTATAGAATTGATAAACATGTTGCCATGTTGAAAATGTCATTATATTGTATTCTTTATGTAATGGATACTATAAATGGTACCAAAGGTAATTGCACATTGAAATGTCATTATGCATGAGTTACATTACATTCATGGGCATTGACATGGGTGAGAGTGTGTGCATGAGATGAAATCAATCACCACATAGGTGGTTGATTGTGAGCTCGAAAAAGTCACACCAAGGTCTGACTGAGTTACACGAAAAATTAAATGGATAAACATGTCGGGGATAGAAAAAAGTGTAACAGCCAAAACAGAGCTGCAGATGGGATGTCCTGAGAATCCGTTGATGTTTGGTGTCCCATTGGTGTAATACCATAAATCATCTCCCCACAAAGACACAAGAAAATAAATTAATTAGTCA